GTCAGCAAGTGTCTATTCAACATTTTCCCCTCCCTTAAGCAAAACCCGGGTGCTATGTCCAATGTATCATTGGACGCTTTTTTTTTTTTGTTGACCAATACATTTTTGTTGTTTGTTTATTGTATCCTGCTAAGTACTATTATTATCATGTTAATTGGGAAAGAAAAAGTGTGAGCTTGATTACCCTTGAACACATATTTGTCCGTCAACTCTACCAAGTGATACTCTTCCTTTGGCTGTGATTTCTATTTTGATGTATTGTTGTTCTTCAGGAGAAATGTCACTTCCTCATGGAACAGAGCCCAAAACAAACCCTACCTCTGCTACCCATCACCACCACCACATAGATGTGAAACGCAGATGTTCTTGACGTGCCAAACAAAGCCCCAGCTGTATCAAACACAATATGAATGCAGATATTTTTGAAATGGGAAAACATTGGAATGACCTCTCTTCCAGTCTAGGCCCCGGATGAAGCCTCATCGGCCAGATTTAGCTATTGAGGTTGGCATGGGATCAGGAACCAATAGTCATGCAATGATTGAAACTGCACACAGAGGGAACTCTCCCCATTGACCTTTGTGCCAAATGTTATACGTGTAGGCACCTCTTCATTGTTAGTTGTGCCCATTGTGTCCTTGATTTCCTTAATAGTTAATGACTATGTGGAAAGAACTGAGGTGACCCGCATTGTTAAGGTGCAGGGCTGTGAGGAAACGCAGCAAAAACGCACCATGAACCCCCACAGAGCAGTTACCGACTTACCGTTTCCTACTTATTACTACAATTTAAGGAAGTGGATCACGCTCACTGTATGGCGAGTAAATTCAACTTTCCATATTTGGTCAAAGGAAGTGAAAAAGATAGAGGCATGGGCATTAAGACAGGAGACAAATCAGTTAATTCTTTCCATACCGTTTTTGACAGTTTCATTAAAACCTAGGAATCAGGAATCTGGCCATAAACTGTAATCATATCTATAAATGCTGCCATGGTAGTCAATGTCTAAAAACCTCCATGTGAGACAAATGTTCACCCTGTAGGGCCACACGAGAACGATTCCAGCCCAGTCCACAACAAGATTATCTTGATGCTAAATTAGCAGAACAGCATTAAGATCTATTTTTGTTGACGATATTAAATGATGCTAATCACACAAGTGAGGCTGATTGGATGGGGACTGTAGTGTGGGCTGTTCTGGCCTCTTGAATAGCTGCAGTAAATCTCCAAATGCAAACAACCTAAGAAGCTGCAAATAAAATCCCCTTCTGTATCCAATTTGCTTTTCAGAGTCGCTTTGGGTGAAATAATAAGCTGATCCAATTTGGAAATATTTATCAACCCAGTCCACTGCCTCTGTATCAAAATGGCTCCCGACGCCTGTATTATTTTTTAAATTGGGTAATATATTCTTGTACATTTGAATGCCTATTGAATTTGCTCTTTAATACCGGACCCAATTTGCAACATATAATAACCAGTGGCTTGGTTATAAAGCAGACATGCCAGCTGGCTGCTGGCTAAAGACACAAAGATCATAGAAAGTAAATGTGGAAATCATTAAACTGGAGTGCAGTGATGCAAGACAGGCATATACTGTATTGTTGCTGGAGGGTGAATTTGTCTTGTTTTTGTTCCAGTCTCCCCGACGCAGCTCTCCTCTGACAGGATTAACCCTGAACCTATACCTGTCTGGCCAGACCAGCTCACCTAAATCTTGTTTACCAGGTTTAATTTTGAATGACGAACACCTTCCACTCCTTCCAACCTACCCAGTACAATCTATATCAACAAAATACAGACACACAAACAGAGGCTGACTACATAGACATAAACAGAACTTCTTGCATCTCTTTCTTATCTGCTCGCACTGATAACAGCCCTCTGCTCAACCACTGTGCATCGCTGACAAGAATGACACTGAGTTCATAGGAAAACAAATACAAGTAAAAGAATGTGAAAAAGAAGAGGGACGATAGCCAAAAAAACGATGATTTTTGTGAAGATGTGTCAACACTAAAACAGACTTGCTCAAAAAATACAATGAGCCCAACAACAAGGGATTTGAGTGGGTGAGAAAGGGAAAAAAGCACCAAGATCATTTGTTATTCATTGCCATTCAATTTGATAAAAGTGGTAGCTTACTCTGGTTCAGTGAAGAGGGAAAATATTCTTATTGAAATGTTTACTCAACTCTGCCGAAGCTGTTTATCTAAGCAAGTTTGAGGCAAATTCCCTTTTTCCCCCCTCTAGAACATAATATACTCTGCTATGCCACTGGACCGCAGACTAAGCAAAAAGGCAAAAAAGTGAAACTCACAATACCTCAGTTGATGCCATGCAGACCAGTGAACAGACCACCATCGATAAACAATGAGTCTGACAACTCTGCAGTTATTTCCAATACAAGTGGTTTGTGCGTGACGTGTTGAGCATCAGGCCAATAAGGCCAACAGTAAAACAACTACGAGGATGTGAAAGTGTGTCTGACATTACAGCTGCCTTTGAGACGCATATCCTGTGTTTGCTTGCCCCCCCCTTTCTCTCTCGCTCTGAATGTGCGTGTGCAAAAATACAAACCCTGTGAACACAAGAATCACCAGATATGAGACTACGGTTACTTCAAAATAAACCCGATTCAGGGCATACAGAGCTCTGGGCATGTATACACCTCAGCTTTACTTTTTATCAGATTGAGACACAGAGGTTTTGTCTTTGTTTTGTTCACAACACTATCACAGGAACTTCTCCAGTCTCATTGAGGGTTTTTACAGTCCAATCTATCTAAAATGTAGCCTCACCACTCTCCCAAGAACCAAGCACCACAAAATGTGCAAAACAAAAACAAACTGCAAAGATGAGATTTAAAAGGGTTTCAACAAATATGTTGTGCATCTCCCAGAGCAAACAGCTTGATTAACAACTGCAGAACAACGCTTTTAAATTGACATCTGTGTGTGACCTTCTTCATCTCAATTTGACGCACTCACCCAAAGTCAGTCGATCAGTTGTGTGAACAGCGGAGGCGACTCGATAACAGGAATAAGCTGACTCCTGCTGCATGGGCCAAGTTCAGGGCAATGAATGTATCCTCACCTACAAGGGGATTCACAGCCACCTCATATTGTGCTGAACGACTCCGTAACCTTTGCCCCACAGTCAGCTTTTTGCTTCTGCGGGGAAAATACCTCTGTGTGTCTGTGTCAGAACTGCTGTCACGACAGTTTCCTGAAAACTATGAGGTTAATATACTGCTTCGATGCTGATAAAAGCTTTAGGGCACGAGTAACACTAATGTAACTTAAAGCAGTAGCCCAAAATAAGGTAACTTATAATATTATACTTATAATACTTATGTGGTAATGCCACAATTTCTGTAAAATTGAGTAATGATTGGTGATACTATTTACTTGAGCTGGACGAGAACATGCATTTAATTCAAATTCAGAAATGCGCAACACTGGTAGTGAATGGTAATGCGAATCACCTGACAGAATTAGTCCACAAATGATGACCTAATCACGTGTCGATTGGCAGGCACACCAAGCACAGCTGTGCTAATCTTCACCATCTTTCACTCGTCGCTTAGCTTATCATTAAGTTGCAATGTTCGATATCTTCCATGGCATGCAAATAGCCTAAAATACATCAGATGTAGGGAAAACCCAAACTGTTATAGTTCCATTTATGTGCATTGTTTGTTTTTGCAGTAATGCAGTTTTTGCTGCTGCTCCAAGTGTGTCTCCTGGGACTTAGTGTGTGGCATGGTTTACAGGCTATTGTTGTTAGTATGTTATTAAATTAGATTCAACGGTAATTTGCACAAAGAGCGGGCTATAACCTGACTAGTTTTGCAGCGTGTTTGTGCTTTCGTCACTCAGCTGTGTCAATATTTGCACTATGTTTGCATTAACTTATTACTCTTTCACCGGCAACGAGTCTCAACAGTTGTGGTGTCTACCTTCTGTTTGTCTAGTTTTGAGTGATGAGTGGGGTATGGCTATGCCTCAGCCCTTGGGGAAACAAAATATACTAATCTGTGCACTGCTAAAGGGAATTATGGTCAGTAATTGGTCTCTTGAGAAATCTTTAGTTGTCTTTTCTCCCCATTGTTATGAGATTAAAAGACGTCGTTTTATGTAAAAATGGATGACACACACACAACACCAATAATCAGTTTGGTTGTCACAATGCTTTTGCTATGAGTTACAAAATATACATCACCCAATCTCTCATTTAATTTTAACTTTTACTATTTGCAATGACAGCACATGCAGTATAAGCTCACGCTAAAATATTAAGTAGTTTTATGCAAGTAACTCCACATAACAACTGAAAGGTGAACTTACTTTTAAATGAGTGGTTGTCTCTGTTGGTATGTTGTTGCTCCTACGCCAAGGTCCTTGTTATCATGGAAACTGCCAGAGTGAGTGTGCACGTTATTAATACAGGTGTAACCAGTCAGGAACACGAACTGTGTTCTTCATTGGCTGCTGAGCTTGTTGAAATCCGACACCGCTGGTCTTATCTCTTACAAAAGTAAACTTACTGTGGAAACTTGCTCTCAGTAAATAGATGTATTCACTTTAGTGCAAGTGTGGTGTTTACTGTCATACAATCAACTGCTGTTAGAGCAGTCCATCTTTGTTAGTAAACCATGTTATTGTTCACTTCATATGCACGTATCCTGCTGTTGTTGATGTGGGAGCATATTGAAATGTTTTATATTGAGAAAAAAAAAAGTAACTTCATTTTGTATTCTCCTCTGCAGGCCTGTCCGTGGTCAGTCTTGGTCAGAAGTTTTTGATTATGTTTCCCCAAAATAATTACCCAACAGCAGATGTTAGCCATCAAGTAACTATTGCAGCCACTGGTGTTTGGACCTCAGTCACTTTGAAGGTTCTGGGAAGCAGCTTTGTGCAACACATCTACCTCTCTGCTGAGGTAGATGTGTTGCACCTTCTACCTCAAAGAAGATTCACCTGCCATTGTCCGTGGGAATGACCAGTGATCGCTCCTCCTTCCTGCTCAGTGTGGATCCTGTATGGCCTGTTACAGCCCTTGCCTCATTCTGCACCCAGGCTGGTTGTGACCACAGCCTTCTTCATGATGTGTCCTCCGGGGGAACCACTACTATCCCATTACTCCTAACTTCCCTAACCAGACTGCTGTCAGCCAGATGGTGATCACCAGCTCAGACCGGGGGACATCAGTGGATATCTTCCTCTCAGGGGATGTGCTTTTTGAAGGCAATGTGTACCCCAGAGTTAGTGTCCTTCAGTTATACAGTATATGGGTGCTGCAGAGTGTTTACCTCCAGAGCAACTCCAGCCTCTCTGTCTCAGAGTTGATCTCTAAAGAAGCTGTAGGTGTAGTGGTTGGTTTTACCTGCTCCAAACAGACATTTGGGGATTGCTTGTATTTGCTGAACTGAAACCAGTGACACACTGGAGTTTTGATTGCATTATCCCTCCCTTGGTAAACACAGAAATGAGTTCCAGTTTTTTGTTAGCAATGGCTCCTGTCAACTCTGACCTGGACGTCACCGCCAGTACTGGGCGAAAGAACGTGTCTCTTGTTGGTGGCATTATGAAGGTCATCCCAGTTGTGACCTCAGATAAAATCCACATTACTAGTGACAGTCCCCTTCAACTTGTTTACTTCAGATGTGGCAATGCACAACGTTATTAAACTCTAACCGTACTGCCATCTGTTGATGATATCTGCCAGACTTTACCTATGTTTGATTCAGGCGATATGAGTGAGCAGCAAGATAACAGTTCTCACGCAGGGGATTTAAAGTCTAGTGTTATATTCTCAGAAGCCCAACTTTGCTCAGCTGCCCAAATATGCAGAGTCCAGTTCTCCTCCCACAGACAGAGATGTGGGACACTATCTGAGAAACATGAACAAGCAACGATATCCAGCAGTGTGTGAGAAATGTGTGTATTTATTTTTTTTTGATGACATGTTGAGCATTTAATGACTGTATTAAGCTGTGTAACATTAACATGCTACATATTTCTTTTTTTATTTCCGCTGCAGCTTCTTGTGAACAGCTGCACTGTGGTCACAAATGGAAGTTCTCTATCAAAGATGGAAAATCACTCAAAGTATGCTCTGAATGGGATGACTCTTATCACCGCACATTTGATGGAAGAGATTTTGTCCTGCAGGGAAACTGTAACTACACTTTAGACAACCTGTCCAGGCTTAAACGCTTCTGTTCCACTACAGATTGCTCCAGCGTTGTCTTAGACACGGCCTTCGGCCTAACTCTACAGTATGACTGGAAGCACCATCTCTAAATTGATGTTGGCCCAGAACTGTATGGAGTCCTGAGCGGTTTGTGTGGAAACGCTAATCGCAGCTCCTCAGATGGCATCATCAATAGCACAGATGAGACCCAGACTGTGAATTTTACTCTCCCTTGGGTGGTGAACAGTGATGCACGCTACTGTATTGAAGATTGTGTTGGTGGTCTCATGTCCAGTGTGCACTCAAGGCCAAACCAAATATTTTCCTGGCATTAAAGGCAACTTTCTCCGAATTGGGTGCACTCTACTGCAGAGGAGCGGTGGACCTTTTGCAGGTTGCCACTCATATGTTGATCCTGAGCCATTTGTTCGTCGTTGTGTGAACAGCCTGTGTGTCAGCAAAGCTGCCTCTTCTATGTGCAAGATTTTGACGGCCTATACCAACATCTGCCAGAGGCTCTCGGCCAGAGTCCAAAACTGGAGAACCATCTCCAAGTGCCGTGAGTTTTAATTTAATTATTATAATTATATATATATTTTTGATAAGTGATTAAAGTGGTTCGCTAAATGTATTTTGTTCTTTCACAGCTATGGTATGTCCTATGAACAGCCACTATGAGATCTGTGGTTCAGCCTGCCCTGCTACCTGCGGTAACCCAGAGGCCCATAGTAATTGCTCCCTGCCCTGTGTGGAATCATGCCACAGGGAGTATCTGCTGAGTGGTGGGGAGTGTCTACCACATAGAAAGTGTGGTTGTCTTTACCAAGGTTGCTACTATCACCCAAAGGAGAACTTCTGGATGGACAAACACTGCCGGGAGAAATGTGTCTGCCAGCCGAGCTCCAAGAGTGTTATGTGTGCTCAGTCTCATTGCCAGGATGGAAACGTGTGCAAAGTTAGGAATGGAGTCCTGGGCTGTTACAAGGAAGGGCCTGGGATGTGCATAGCCAAAGGAAATCTTCATTATACCACCTTTGACGGGCGTAACTTTGATGTGTATGGCAACTGTACTTACCTACTCGCTTCTCACTGTCCCACCTTGGGGGACCAGGGAAACTTTAGTGTCGTGGTCCAGAACCAGATGGAGGATGCTACAAATGTTTCCTTTCGTCGTGTTAAAATGATGGTCTCCAGTTATTCCATTGAGATGTCAAATGATCGGAGCAACAGCGTTATGGTAGGTTCATTTATTTTCCACTAGACAAAGTAACGTTTTCTCCACTTGCAATGTTAACATTACTCTACTCGTTTCAGGTAAATGGTCTGCTACCCCGTCTTCCATCTGTATTGAGCAAAGGCAAAATAAAGCTCTATGTGACTTGACTCTCAAAGTGTATAGAGACTGACTTTGGCGTTGTTGTAACATACAGCTCTGATGTCCTCACTGTTCAAGTGCCATGGATCTACTCAGGTAATCTCTGTGGCCTGTGTGGCAACTTGAATGCTGTTCCAGAAGATGATCTGTTGCCTGATGACGAATCTGATATTTCTCGGGCTGTTAGACACTGCCAAACCAGCAGTGAACATGAATGCGTGGATGTGCCTATGAACACAAAAGGGTGCATTTCACAAGATTTGGCTCTCTGTAAAGAAAAAGATTTCTGTGCAAGGTTACTGGATACAGAGGGAGCCTTCCAGAGCTGCCATGAAACGGTTGATCCAGAAGATTTCTACAATAACTGCGTTCATGATCTATGTTATAGTAACCAGACCCTGTGTCCGATTCTGTCTAGCTATGTTGCTGTGTGTCAAGAAATGTGAGCTATAGTGGATAAATGGAGGGCTTCCAGCTTTTGTAGTGAGTAACTATGGTTAAATGCATTTATTTATTTTCAATGTGTACAAAATAGGAATATTTCAATGAAATTGTTTTTTTTTTTTCTCCTTCGTAGATCTCTTCTGCCCACCCAATAGTGAATAGCGCCTGTGCTCCAGTCACATGACTGACTGTGTAGAAAACCCAAGTCCTTGAGCAGCGAAATGCAAAATGGGCTGTTTCTGCAAACCTGGGTTTTTCCACAGTGGTGGGGGATGTGTACCAAACTCTGAGTGTGGCTGCATTCACGATGATGATTACTATGAAATCCATGAGAACTTCTACCCCGATGAGCACTGTCAGCTGTGCTGTCTCTGTGTGGGCCGCAACAGAGTACAATGCACCAACCACACATGTCCAGTTGGAACAAAATGTGCCATCCAAGATGGCCAGAGGACATGTCATGCATCACAACCTGTTAAATGTTCAGTCATGGGTGGCAGACACTTCAGGAGCTACGATGGACATAGCTTTGACTTTAATATGGGAAGCTGCCGTTGTGTTCTATCCCAAGCTTGTGACGAGGAATAGTCTGACCCCGCTGTTAATATCCAGCAAGGACAGCTGCACCTCAGGGTCCATGGGGTGAACATGTCTTTGGAGAATGAGCATTTGGGAAAAGTAAAGGTAAGCAGTTGCACATTCAAAAAATGCAAACTGTTAAGTTTGCCTTGACTTTAACTTTAACATTCAAATTTTCTAGATTGATGGTATTTTGAGGGGTCTTCCTGTCAAGCTGGATCACATGGCAATACTGCATTCTGGCTTGCTGACTCGTGTTGTTATAAAAACAGGGGTTGTTGTCACTTATGGAGGGCCTGATCTGATACAAATAGTAATTCCTGCCTCCAAAATGTGTGGCTTGTGTGGAAACATCAGTGCTGGTGCTACAGATGACAAACTCGGCCTAAATATCAGCCTTGCAAGTGACGTTTCCACTTTTAGATCTTCCTGTTCACTTTCAGTAACTGGAACGAAGTGTTCTGAACAATGTGATCTCGGTTCAGGGTGCAACTCTACCTTGGCAGCTGAATTTGCATCTGATAACCTCTGTGGCATGCTGCTTGATCCTGCAGGATCATTTAGTGGATGTCACGCCACTGTAGACCCTGAGCCCTTCTTTCAGAACTGTGTGAATGACTTGTGTATGTCTAATGGGAATAAAGATTTGTTTTGCAGTAGTTTGAGAGTGAACACTTTTGCGTGCCAAGGCCAAACTATGGAGGGGTGAGAAGTGCTGTGAGTATTATCAATCTTGACTTTCTCTTTTGTACGTGTTTTATCAGTCTTTTGTGGTGTGCCAGTGCATGTAAATCATACAGGTCTGCACACATGCTTCTCTTGTACGTTTCGAACTCTGACAAGCTATATACAACGAAGTTGACTGATTGATGTACAGTAAGGAGAGCTGGACTATGAACCCATTTTTTTCCCTCCCACAGCACTCTCATGCCCTGAAAACTCTCACTGTAATATATGTGTCAGTGCGTGCCCCGAGTCCTGTGGTATTCTATCAGACATCCCCTGCCCGTGGGCCTGTTATGAAGGATGTCAATGTGAGTCTGGATGCATGCAGAGTGGAAATGATTGCATCAAAGCTGAGAAATGTGGTTGCATCTACCTTATGCACTGATATGAAGTGAGTAGCTACTCATTATTTAGCTTACACCAACTATCATATTCATTTTCAATTCATCCCGGCAATTCATTCATGATTTTTCTTAATCCAGTGAAACCATTTATTTAGAATGTGACCTGAATATTGTAGCATTGTTTGACTTCAGATAAACCCATTGGTTCATTGGGGGGTGTTTTACCAAATGGACATAAGCCTGAAAATTAATATCGCATGACTATTCACGTACACTGGGCATGGGGGTGCCGGTGTAAACAGGAAGTAGATATGACAAAGTATTATAGTAGTCTTTAATAATGAAAGGTAGTGCTTGCAACTTTCAATCTTCCTCAATAAACTCAAACAGACAAATTTGGTGATAAGTTTTTGAAGTTATATTTTTCAAACTTGGTTACAACGCTGCAGGTCTTTGTCTCTCTCTTTCTCTCACTCACTCTCACACACATGCATCAAATTTACTTCAAAAGGAACACTTACAAATCAAAGTTTACTAGATTATGGGTCAATAAATGTGGCCAACACACATCTATCACTTGTTTCCTCTGTTTCGTTGTCTACCTTTACACTCGTAGCTCTGCCTGGGGCTGAAGTCCCTGTCGTACTGCAGAGCATTTATGCTTTTGTTCCTTTACATTTTCTGTGTGGACTTCACAATAGTTGTGCAGAACAAAATAAACATTAATAAGAAATATTTTGTGTCCATCGCCTTCCTCAAAGCCGCAAACCGTGACTTCAAACGTCCGCTCCTTGGGGTGATCACACCGCTGGACACGCCTTCCGCTAATCGCTCCAATAACGGCTTGTTTCTTCTGCATGTCGACCGTAGTAGATTTCTAAAATTAAATTCAGCATTTGATAATAACTGCACAACAGCTGCTAATATAGACAAGGTCAGCAACACCTGTAATCCGTTATCCATGTTGAAACAACCACTGGTAGACGATCGATAATCGAGGCTTCCAGAAAAAGGTCACGTGATAGCGGCCTGACAAATCAGGGAAGGACACGTTGTAACTGCTAATCAAGTAGCAAACACGGGTGTCTACGTCATCGTTTTCAAACTTCTCCGGTTCCGCCGTCCACACTACGAGGTAACCCCGGAGTTTTCAAAGTTATCCGTCCTCGGTAGCAATTTTAATCCGTTTTCGGTGCTCTAACACTCCAGCCTAGTGTGGACGCTCAGTGTAAACGTAGCAAAAGATATGCGTTTTAAAATGGAAAACTTAGCGTGGACATGGCCTTAATATTATGACTCATTAATGTTTTGGCCAAACTTACACACCTTACCAGTGCATGTGACATGACTAATCACAAAATCCTAGGCCTTTGTGTTTTCCTGTGTTGTTTGTCTGTATTGGTGTGCGTGTGTGTTACTCAACTGTTCTCTAAAACAGTGACTCACTGTTCTCTGTAGATCGGGGAGATATCGGGGGCTGGGGGCTGCTCTGAGTGGTGTTACCGCTCTGCCGCTGTCACCATGTGCTGCGAGTCAGCATCTTGCCCCGAGGGAGAGAGCTCCACCCTTCTTAACAATACTTGGGGCTGTGCAAAGAAAGGTAAGCTCAGCTGGTTCTTCTGGGTTGGGTGACATTTCCTCAAAGGCTAACTGTCACTGAGCTGCACCATGCAACGTTCATAGGTTTTGCATTATCAAATCAAACTTAAATTTTCTGCCAGGGTTGTTTTGCAACTTCATGACACACAGGTGTTTTCTCAGTGTCCTGGAATTGGTCCAAAATGAAGTTAAACTGCTGCACCTTTTAAATAGTTAATGTTCTTGACTTGTTATTGCAATGCTTGTCAATCAGTGTAATGCGGCACTTATTATTTTACTTGTCCTCCACAGAAGCCTATATTATAATGTGATGCGTCACAAATAGTTTGTGTACTTAATTTGTTCCCATTTAAATTAACCAGTTTTATTTACTCTTATGAAGACAGAATATTTGCACTTCAACTTAAAACTCAACACATTTACTTATGAACCAAAACTGCAATTAATCTGATACTTACTCCCCTAATTCTTTCAGATATTGATGATAAAATCTGTGAAAATGGTGAGGCTTGTGGTGTCCAGAGCCAACCTCGGCAAGCTCAGTGTTGGATACTGGGAGGCGACCACTTCTACACATTTGATGGAAAGGTGTTTGAATTCCTAGGAAACTGTACCTACACTCTGATCCATTTATTGAAGGACACCAGGGAGAATATGACATTTTGGGTCGAGGTACAGAAAGACAGGACACCCAAAGAGGCTTCCTCTCTTAAAGCTATTCATGTTAACGTGGCTAAAGACAATATTACAATCCACAGAGGGGAACATGCTTGGGTAAGTTTGAATTAGGACATGCAAACAGTCACATCACCGTTCTAGCCTCACTGTCAATTTGTGATTTAACTGTTTACTTACACGACAGTTTATGGTTTTTCACAATGTAGATGCACCTGATAAACAACACATTTTCAACACAAAATTCCATGAAAAAATGCATTCTATACATCTCTCCCCAGATAAATGGCGAGAAAAGGCTACCTGTGACTCTACAGTTTGGACTTGTGAAGATTTATCAGAGTGGCAGGTTTGTTGTTGTGGATACTGGGCATCCAAATTAAGTATGACTGCTCTCATTTCGCCACTATCCTCCTCTCTCATAAAACTGAAGTCCTTGGTATGTGTGTGAATAATAATGGCATCAAAAAAGATGACCTCAGGACTCCACTCCACAGGGTGAGCCCATTGATGCCACCACCTTTGGCTGGAGCTGGAGAGTTCCCGATCAGGAAGCTCGCTGCACAGCAGATTGTGGAGATGCATGCCCATGCTGCTGTGCCGAGCAGCTACTAGACGAAGATGTAGCCAGTCAATGGATCTCGATGCACCAGTATATTTGGTCAACACAAAATCAATTCTACCTGTTAACTAGATGTTAACTACACTCAAATCGCCATAGCTGTGAGCATGTTTGACCTGTGCTCTAGTAATGACACTCAAGACGGTCCTCTGCCCGATCTTGGAGGCCTATGCTGCCGCCTGTCAAAAGGCCAATATCCAGATCAGAGAGTAGAGGAATAATACCTTCTGCCGTAAGCAAATTTACAATTTAAAATGTCTGTTGCAAACAACAACACAATTAACTGGTTACAAGTTTCTGTGTCTTCGTGTGTGCACTTTTTCCTCCATTGTTGGCTCAGCCTGCCCTGCCACCTGTGAGGACCCATTCAGTTCAAGACCCTGCACCCTAGCTTGTGTGGAGACCTGCCAGTGTGATCCAGGGTTCATCTTGGATGGTGACACCTGCATGCCCTTGTCCCAGTGTGGCTGCACTCAAAATAGCTACCATTACAACAGCTACAAGACATTCTGGGCTGATGAAGGATGCACTGTTAAGTGTGTTTGTGACCCCTACACCCATCAGACGCAGTGCCATTTGGATTCTTGTGGCCCTGATGAATACTGTGGTCTTCAATATGGAGTCAGAAGCTGTGTCCCCCATCATTGATGTCATCCAGGTTCATGTACAGACAGATGGACACCTAGAGTCAGCACATCATGTCCTGGTCAATGTGAGTGGTGTGCTTGTGGAGCTAAACAGCAAAAACACTGAGAGCATAGAGGTGAGTGCTTGTATCCTCTCGTTGATTTGCATTCTTTTAATTGTCATGTCACACAAAGTCGTTGTTTACACACTGCATTGGTCATAAATCATATTATAATTAAACCAGACTTCACAGAGATTACTTTTAATGTGTTGTCCTGTGCTGATTTTCAAATGCAATTTTGGCCCCCCCTACAGGTTGATGGTGTTAAGAGGAACATGCCCTATCACTTCAGCCCTACTGCACTGGCTTTCTCTCTGGTGCTGCACACTTACATCTACACAGACATGGGCTTTGAATTGAGTCTTAGCAAAGAGGGCATAGTCTCTCCAGTAAATATGCTAATGCCGCTTGTGGTCTGTGTGGTAAATTCAACTCTAATCCTGAGGATGACCTCACAGCAAATGGCCCAAAGGAGCGTCTCAGTCCCGAGCATTTTGGAAAAGCTTGGAGAAGTGGGCAGAATGCTTGGTGTGTGTGGAGGGCTGTCTAGGAGGAAGTTGTCAAAAATGTTCATCTGAGCGTCTGGCCCGCTTCTCTGACCCGGAGGATTGCGGGAAGATTTTGGAAGTAAATGGACCATTTAGACACTGTCATGGCAAAGTGGACCCCTCCAGCTTTTACAAGCGTTGCGTCGGTGACCTGTGTCTTCATGGAGGTCTCCAGCCTGCACTGTGTCACTCCCTGGCAGAGTATACTGCTGTCTGCCTTTCCCACAAGGCTACAGTTTATGCATGGAGGAGTCCTGGATTCTGCTGTAAGTGTTAATGTGCTCCCAGCTCTGTTGTGCCAGTGAATTAAATTAATATCCTCTACACTTGTAACTGTGCTGTTTGGAGTTCAGCATCATTGCACACCAAATGAAATATGGAGAGTTTGCAGATGCCTGTGCAAGCATACAACACTTCATCATGTTTAGATTGTTGATGTCGATCACGCAACATGAGGAAAAGAATATGGAGATTATGTGCATAAAATCAGGTGTATGCCTGTAAGTTCTTAATGTTAAGTTGTTTTCCCTTGTTTGTTTTTTTCGAAAGTGTTTGTATAAAGTATAAGATAGTGTGCTTTGACTCATAGTAGTATTGAGGCCACAACCTTCCAGGGGCTATTGGACCACTAGATGGTACTAATGCATCACTGGTCAACCCTAACCCTTTCCAACATTTCCATGTTTTCATGGCCTTAATGACTGATGTGTCTCTGTATCTCTACATACTCGTCCTGTCCCTCCAGTAGCAGTTACAACATGAGTTCTGCTTCTGTTCACCTCTGCCTCGGCTGGCAGAATAACACAGTAGAGATGCCTCGAAACATCGGGGAGAACTGCAAGTTTAGTTCACAGTGGCAGCCTCTGTGTCTACGCAGAAAGCTGCGGCTGCTTTCACCATGGAGAAAACCTCAAGGCAGGAGAGGAGGTGTCTATGTGTGAGAAAAGCTGTTTATGTCATGCTGGGGGACACATGACTTGCCGTAATGTCTCCTGTGGAGTAGAGGAGTGTAAGCTTACTAGGGGAGTTCAAGGTCGCCACCCCAAACCCAAAGTGGCACACTGCTCTGTTGACGGATCCCAATACACCACGTTTGATGGACAGGCATTTGAATTTCATGGTTCATGTAACTACACCTTGGTGCAGACGTGCCTCAATAAACTGGATTCGGTGTCACGGGGCATGATGGAGGACTCAAACGCAGACAGTCAGATGCAGTGAGAAAGGGTTTTAATGATGAGTCACGAACAAAACAGGAATCTTTACCGGAACACAGTGAGTGACTGACAGGTAGTGTGACAAGGGTGAAGTTATGCAAAGACACACAGAACACACAGAACACACAAGGCAAAGCCTGATCGTGACATGCGGAGCCTGTTTTGATAGCTGCACAGGGCAACCACAGTGAGGGCAGGCAGATCTACTTGCAAGTCAATAAAATGCATTTTAAGACGTCAACAGCTTTTCCTGGAAGACTTGAGGTAATGATTTCATAGCCTTCAACAAGATTTATTATTAATCTCCTAGCATGCACTGTAAAGGAATTTTTCACAGCATACACAAACTGATATTTTGTTTTTAAACATGAATTATTTCACCCAGGTAAATGGAGTTTACGAGAACCTGCCGATCTCCCAGAGTAACGTCACTGTAAATCAGAAAAATGGATGGCTAACCATCAAGACCCCACAGTCAGTTGAGCTTATATCAGACCTGCAAAACCACATTATGATCAAGATCCCTGACATCTACCACCAGACAATGTGTGGTCTTTGTGGAAACTCTAATGATAATCCCTCAGATGACCTGCAGCTACCCAATGGCACCATGCTCTCTGATCCTTACATTGTTGGGTAATCATGGAAGTTGTTTGATTATGAAACATCCTGCAGCGACACTTGTGACGGCACCTGTCAACTCTGCCTCTCCCCCATGCCCGAATACACTTCTGAGCAGTACTGTGGTTTTCTCATCAATCCTGTGGGACCGTTCTCCCCCTGTCACCATTTAGTGTTCCCACAGAAATACTACTTGAAAAGCCTTTATGTTGCAGAGGGCCAACGCTGGGCCCTGTGTGATGCACTGTGGGCCTCTGATGCAGCATGTAAGAAGGCGGGAGGGATAGTTGACCTCTGGACAACTATCCCCAGCAAACTGTAGTGGAGGTTGTGAGGAAGGCTGCCAGTGTGACCTTGGCTACTTCCTGAGTGATGGCCAGTGTGTGCTGGTCTCCGACTGTGGCTGCATGCATGAGGGACAGCATCACCCTGCTGGCCACTTCTACTCTGAGACAAGCTGCCAAAAGTGTAACTGCAATAAAGGAGAATTGACCTGCACACCCATGGAAAACTGTTCAGTAATGGATGGCCTTGCCTTGCAGTATGGGGTGTGCCAAGTGTTTGCTGGCTTTGGCTACATCACTTTTGATGGTGTCATTCTGCCTCACCATGGAGCTTGCACTTATGTAGTGTCAGCTTTATCCTCAAAAGCCTTGCATGACTATACTCTGCTACTTAGCTTTGAAAAAGACTCGAATGGCATGTTCAAGATCAGCAGACAAGTATTTCATTTGCACTCAATGGAAGTGTCGATTGACCCTGAAACTATATGGAAAATACAAGTAAGTTCTACAATCTGTATTCATTTGTGATAAAGATAAGTTTCATACAATTTTTGCATCCTTAAAATGTCCTTGTGCTTTCAGGTAAACGGAGAAGAATGCAGAGTGCCTTTTAACAATGGAGGACTTAAAGGGAACCAAGTCGGCAACAGACTAATTATCGTCACACCATCTGGGTTGGGGATTGACTTTTCCTCTACCCAATACCTCAGCTTAACTGTGCCACAGGTATACGACGCCACAGCTTTGGGCCTCTGTGGGAACTTCAATGGGGACAAGTATGATGACATGATGACATGGAACTGAGAAATGGCCACCTTGCAGAAAGCTTTGCAGAACTCCTGGGCAGTAGTAGCTCCTGGACAGAATTGCACTGAGGTCTGTGGGAGAGAAAGCAATGAGTGCAGGCCGTCCCAACAAGAACACATGGTCTGTGATATGCTGTTGATCAATAGTATAGAGTTTCACCACTGCTGGAACAGTGGTGTGGAGCGTGATATTTACACACTTATGTGCATCAGGGCAGTTTGTGCCGGGGCAGGAAAGATGGCCTCATGTCTGGCACTGGAAGCATATTCTGCAGCCTGGCAGGCTAAAGGAATACCAGTAGGATTGTGGAGAGGGAATACCCTTTGCGGTAAGTGAATAATTGTGATCGTTGTTTAAAGTATGTTATCCACTTTAAATGATTTTTATTTCATACCATCAGCCCTCCAGTGTCCTGACCGCAGCAGCCCAAAGGAGTGTGTTGACTCCAGCGCCAACTCATGCCCTGCTCTGCTCCAGCCCGCTTCTTCAGCAAGTGGCTGTTCAGAAGGCTGCGAGTGCCACAATGGAAACGTGTTTGATGGCAGCGAGTGTGTACCTTACGGTCGATGTGGGTGTGTTTATCGTGATATGTATATCAAGGTAAATATAAAAGCTTAATAGAGACAGTAAATCAGTAAATACTTAAAGGTCACATTGAGTATTTCAGTAGCTACATAATTGGTTTTGTCTCCTCTTCATCTTAGATGGATGAGCAATTGTACACTGAGGATTGCGCTAAGAGATGCTGGTGCCACCCTCTGGGTGGGGTGCTCTGTGAGGAGGCAGCCTGCAGTCTGGGGCAGCAGTGTGCTCTGAGGAATGGTTCCTGCGACTGTTTTGACAGACCTGAAGTTTGTGAGCTCAGGGGCAGCCTCCAAGTCTCCACACTTAGTGGGCAGCAGCTGAGCTTGGAACCTCGGTTAACTCATGGTCTGATGTCCCTCTGTGACGAGGCAAGTGTGCACCGGTTCAGCCTGGTCTCTTACCATGGACCTTGTGATGGCAGCTCTTCCAGGCTTGTCGCTGTGTTTTAAATCCTCCTGCATGGATCATCATTTACCATACAGGATGGCACAGTGAAGGTATTACTCCACCAAGGCTTTTCATTGCCAGAAACTAAAATGTATTTTATGAAAATTGTGCTGTCTCTGTGGAAACCTTCATGACCCCCGCTCACACAGTTCAGTCAGGTCATGGGTTTGTCACTGACTTTCCTGGCTGGTAAGTGATGTCCTCCACAACAGCACTGGCCATGAATTGACTATTTAATGTGCTTATTGAAAATTTAATTAAATGAGTATTTCCTCTTTTCACAGTGGTTTCACTGGATGATGACCGACTATTTTTATGTCCTGAGTAATGTATATTGTTGAATGTTTGAATACAGAAACAATTTTAAAAGTTTTGTATATATCTCTGTGTTTTAAACTCTAAAGGATAATATGCCCTTCTCATACATTTTACGTAATACTGACGGCACTCTTAGCAGTTCACCATACACCTTTTTTAAATAAGGTATAAGGTAATAATCTTTGGCCAGTGATGATTGGGTTCCAGGGGAAAAAGCAACGAAGGCACACCCTTTTATATAAATCTACAATGTGTACTAAACCAGGCTTACTGTTGCCCTGCCCAAGGGTTCTGACAAAATGAGCACTAATTCAATATTTGAGGTTTTGTTATCTTTTGTTTTGTTTTGTTTTTTTAATCTAATGCAAACTTATGAGGGCCAAGTAATATTTACTTTCTCTCAATCATGAATGATTGGAACACCCTCCACTATGTGCCGTTATTCTTAGGTGACACACAAAACCAACAGAAACCCAACTACTGCCACTCAGCAGAAATGTTAGTTTAATTAAGATTTGATTGATCAGGTCCATAGGATTATCCCCATCTTTCCAGCCTTACAAGGGCATGTCTGTTCACAAGCACGATCTGGTTTAAAGGACACAATATAAACATTGGCAGAACTTGTGATTTTTGCATTGAGTAGGCTTTATAAATTGTGTGGTTAAGGTTTTTCTCAAGCTGATAGATGACAAAAATGACAAAACACTAAGTGGCTTAAGAAATAAAGACACAAACATGTCACATTTTTACCAGATGTCAGTATTTTACTTTTATATTTAGCACTTGTTAGGATGCAATTGCGTCACAGCTCGGTGTTGTTAATAAAAATCAAAAAATTCTTACTAGAACAACCTAGCGTTTGATAAAGCATGTAACTTGTGATGTGAGACATCAATGATATTCTACATATTTTAGGTATTTTTCAAAACCTAGCCCGATTATCAAATTAGACTTGTGATTTTGGTCTTATCACATTCTTGCCTTGCCTACTCTAAAATGGATAATATTATTTGGTTACACCAGAATATACATTACAGATGAAGCTGAGCAAATGATCATATTGACCTGTTCACTGTATCCGCCTGACGTTAGATGTCAAATGGCATTGGAATTTCTGCTGAAAAAAGGTAAAAATGTTGAACAAACTTATCTATATAAACATATATATACATATATAAACTTATATATTATCCAAATGTATTTTGAAAATTGTCCACTTTAGAGAAGAGGATAAGAGTTTTTAAAGAAGCTTGTCCAGGTTGAGGGTCCCTCAAATACAGTATTTAATGTTACACATACCTACAAATATATATATGTTTATCTTCTACGGCTACAGATTATTTGGGAGGTCATGCGGGGGTTCTCACTCGATTCCTTAAAATAAATGACAGGATGTTCATGAGTCCTGTTATTCAGTTGTTAACTGAAGCAGAAAATGATTCATCCCATACTTAGTTGGTATTGTACCTCACACCTATGTCAACATAAAGCAGGACCTGCAAAACTGTGCCAAGTTCTGCCTTAATCTGCTTTAGAGGAAGCAAATAGTTTTTTTTCAAAGTCGTTGCTGTTGAGCTTCAAGGTTTTTGATTGGTTGTGTTTTTGTCTGTCTGGGTACATAAAAGGATGTAATGTAAAACATTATACATGCATCGCAGCAGGTAAGCACTGCTCAATCTGAGATTATTTATTTGGCTGGTTGGTGAAATTAATCAATTTATATAATTCAAATAATGTAACTAAAACAAAAATGTCTCTTTCAGCCATGGGCACCCTGTTGCTGTTTTGTGCTTTGGGGGCTTTACTCAGCTGTAAGTCATTTTACTTATTTGTTTTCTTTTGGCAGGATCCACTTGAATGCTGCTCATTTTTATTTCAATGTGATATAACTTTGCTTATCTTCTTTCCAATTTGTCACAGCTGATTTTAAGCTGTTTTAAACTGAACAAACACAGTAGTAGTGATGTCAATTTCAAAACTCAGGAAAACCTTTCTTTATCTAACAAAAGCCTGCCTACCATTAACAACTCTTAAATCCGACTGAACGTGGCTTAGCCCAATTAATCAATCACAGCAGCATTTCTCAAAACTTAGCCAAGTGATAGCTCAATTTGAAGCAATTTATCCAAGTTGTCAACCCCATCAGTTGAGAGCATTGTTGTGCGCCCAAACCAGGTGCTTGTGTGTATGAAGCAGAATGTTAAAAAGGTGAAGAATTCAAGAGAGCAGCACATAAAGGATAGCCATCTAAATTGAAATTTGCTTTTGTTGGGAATAGCATTT